CCGGAGAATTCTGGGAGTTGAAGTCCACAAGTCTTAAAGTGGCCAAGTTTGGAGACTTTGTGACCAAGGCAGCCCTGGCAAAAGGAAGGCTGGGCAACCCCCGCCTCAAACTCAGGCAGCTGACCCCCCTTCTGGCTCTTCTCTCCCCCCACCAACGCCCGGGCAGCTGCCCCTCCAGGCGTGCCAGCCTCTATCCCAGGTGCCAAAGGTCAACAACAGGGCTGGCTGGACCCAATGGCTCTGGAGCCCAGAAGCACCATTTCCAACTCCTGCCCACCCAGCCCTCCCTAGCACCATGGCCCCCCCATCCTCTGTGACTCAGTCCCACACAGGTGCAGGCTCACCTGGGCTTTCGAGCTGGCTCCCTGGGGTCTCCCAGACTGATCCGGCTGCTGCCACCACTCCAAGCCTCCTCTTTCCCTCCAGGCGTGGCCCCCAGAGTCGGCTCGGGGCTCTGGCCGTGGCCCTTGAGGCTCCCGCGATGGTCCCTCTCGTCCTGAGGCCTGACCCTCCGGACCTCCGAGGGGAAAGCCAGCGGGGCGGCCATGGGGACGGGCTTGCTCTCAGCCTGCAGCCCCTCCTCCTCCTCCCGTCTGGCTCGGACCCGCTGCTTGTTCAGGGCGATGGTCTTGACGGAGAGCTTGTCTTCCTCCTGGGCCGCCAAAATGGGGGGCGAGGGGATGAACCGGGGCAGGTCTTTCGGGGGTCCTTTCTGGAGACCGCTGGCAGGCCAGGGCGGCAGGTCCGGTTCGACAGCAGGCAGTCCGGCCCCCGAGCCCCTCCGGTCCCGCTTGCTAGGATCGCTCAGGGCGGGAGGGAGGGTGGCCGTCGAGAGGAAGGAGGGTTTGGGGGAGGGCTCCTCGCAGTAAATGTGGCTCCCATTGATGCAGAGTGAGGACCCCGAGGAGGGGTCCTTTGGGGTCTTCAGGCCCTGGATGGCTTCTGGCAGCAGGTTGATCTGGGACACCTCATCGCTGAAGGCCCTCTTGTGAGTCAGCTGGGGGGAGGGCAGAAAGTCTCTTCCTGAGAGGGAGGGAGGGGAAGGAAGGAAGATAAGGGAGGGAGGGAGGGACAGAGGGATGAAGGAAGGGAGGGAGGGATGAGGAAAGATAAGGGAGGGAGAGAGGAAGATGAGGGAGGGAGGGGAAGGAAGGAAGGAAAATGAGGGAGGGAGGGAGGAAGATGAGGGAGGGAGGGGAAGGAAGGAAAA